CTGGGGCTTGGTGTTGAGACACTGCAGGACGACGCCCAAGTGGTGACGTCCTAGGTGTGCGCGGAGTGTGGTGGGCCTGCAAAAAAGAGGAGAAATAAAGAGCTATTAGTTTAGGGCATTTTTAGATGGCAATGGCTGTAAAAGGTAGGTAAGTTAGTTTACAGCTCTAATTGGACATCTTTAGAGTATTGGCGATGGCCACACAAGTGTTCGACATAAAAGTCTCTTGACCATCTGATAACATCTGAAATGGTCTTTCTAATCATGTGTTCTCTGTTTTGTTTAGGAACTCCCAGGAGATTCAATGCTTGGAAGTTTGCAGGATCCCAAGACCCTAGAGAACCTACAATGATTGCATCAACAATTGCACGGTAGCCCTTTGCTTTGAGAGTATTGCAGAGTGGGGTGTACTTATCAATCTTCTCTTTTCTTTTAGCAATGAGGGCTTCGCGCCGGGCGTCGAACGGGCAGGCGACGTCGATAATGACTGCAAGTTTTCTTTCATTGTTGATGACAACAAGATCAGGCATCAGGCGGCTGTCTGCTTCTGGAACTGCACGCTCGACACGTAAGTTTTCAGTTGATTTCATGTTGTCTGTGATGTTCTTAATAACTGATTTATGTGTGTTGATCCAGGCCCTGGAGTGCATCTGGCAGTGGCACAGCACGTGCGCGGTGGTTTCCTCTGGGTATTGGCACCGGCGGCACGTCCTTGTGCGGTCCTTGATTCGCAGACAGCCGTTCAGGGGCAGAACGCCAAGTCGAGCCCTATGGACGAACCGCCAGTCGCAAAAGCGAGTGTGACGGCCGTCCCGGAGAAAATGGTTCGACGTGGAGCTGCGCCGCTTCAAACACTTTGCCCTGGTCTGGTTTGCGGAGGAGTTTCTTGTTATAGAACTTCTGAAGTTCTCTTCGTAAACTTGGCTGAAGCACCTTTCTGGACTCGGCCTCCACGACAGCACGATCTTGTCTGTTGTCTGGTGTGGGCCATTCGATGCAAATTGTCTGGCGGTCCTCGCACCAGGACCACCGCAGCCCAGGGATCATGGAGTTGAGCCGGACTGTGGCCGACCGTGCGTGTGACCAGATCGTTGCAAAGGCGTTTGTGTTCCGGGGGTTGTCGCCGTTGAGGTACGTAGCGGCGTCATCCCAGGTGGCGGTGATTTGGTAGTATTTGGAGACTGTCCTCTTTAGACTAGCCTCGGCGATATTGGTAACCGCCGGATCTGGTGAGGTAAGCAGCCGGAAGGCGTGTACTACCGCAGTCACATCAGCCATGTCCATCAGCGGCAGGATGTTAGCGCCGCCTTGGTAAGTTGGGAGAAATACGATCTCCGGGCTTGCGCGCTGTGGCAGGTGGAGAGCCGCTTTGGACACACGTTTGATTTCCCTGTCTATTTCTTCAAGCATTGTTTTCTTGATCGGGAGCGTTGCAAGCCGTCTAGTCTACGACCCGTCTACTCTTTTAAACCGTCTAGTCTCAGAACCGTCTAGTCTTTAAAACCGTCTAGTCTGTTAAACCGTCTAGCCGTTGTCTACTCACTACAATCGTCTAGTGTAAGACCCGTCAACTCTTAAAAACCGTCTGGTCTGAGAACCGTCTAGTCTTAAAAACCGTCTAGTCTTTAAAACCATCTAGTCTTTAAAACCGTCTAGTCTTTAAAGCCATCCAGTAAAAGTGCGTTTTGCAACTCGTCTAGTCCAAAAATCTGTCTAGTATGGACAAGCATCTATTCCTCTCAATCGTCTACTGTTTCAAACCATCTAGTTTTTAAAACCGTCTTGTCTTCCAAACCAACTAGTCTTTCAAACCGTCTTGTCTTTAAAACCGTCTAGTCTTTAAAACCGTCTAGTCTTTAAAACCGTCTATCCTGTAAAACCGTCTTGTCTTTAAAACCATCTAGTCTTTAAAACCGTCTAGTCTTTAAAACCGTCTAGTCTTTAAAACCGTCTAGCCTGTAAAACCGTCTTGTCTTTAAAACCATCTAGTCTTTAAAACCGTCTAGTCTTTAAAACCGTCTAGCCTGTAAAACCATCTAGTCTTTAAAACCGTCTAGCCTTTAAAACCGTCTAGTCTTTGAACCCGTCTAGCCTGTAAGCCGTCTAGTCCTTCAAATCGTCTACTCTTTCAAACCGGCTAGGAAAAGTGCGTTTTT